CCCCCCCCCCTTTGGCGCTCATATGACCTTATGCAGTTGCGAGCGCCGTAAAACCCTCTACTATTAAAAAATGATAAAGGAAAATGTATTACAAATAATTAATCATGTATTACAAATACTACACAAGTACGTAACAGAATCAACAAACATACAGCAATGTGTTATATTACCAACAGTACATAAATCATCATCATCATCCAGTGCCAGATCTGCGACAGACATCGGCGATCATGGCTCTCCATTCATTCCTTTCCTCGGAATCTCTTAAAAAAGCTACGTTTCCCTGATCTTTTCCCGTCGCCCTTTTGTTTAGGTTCCCTAAGTAGGCCTAGGTTGTTCTGGGCCTGCCCCTGTCTCGTTTCCCAAGTACACAAATACATAACAGAATCAACAAACATATAGAATTGTGTGTTATATCACCAACAGTGCACAAAATAAAACAGGACGGAATTAGACGCACAAGATTGTGGTACATTTTTTTTCCAGACCGGTCAAGGCAGCCACCAGTCGACGGTGCATTTTATAAATAAAAATACCCGGTATAAACTTCCGGTAATCTGTCTCGCATTTCAAAACTGATCTCCTCTGTCCCATGTGCATTGTAAATATATACATGTATATGGTCGCTTTTAAGGACAAGCTGGCTAACCCAGATTTCGGTGGTTTTCAGAAACCTTGACCTACACCAAAAGTAGGCATTGCTCTACCTATAGGAGAAGTTTGGTTTCATTAGTGTGTATATTTGTTTGGTTATAGAGAAAACTTTCATTGTCTTTTAAAGAAACTGAATAAGGGTCCAAAAAACTTTACCTTCGATTTTCTCAAAACAGCATTTTTTGGATAGCCCCCTTGTGCTTAAAAGCGAATATATAATATACACACACTTACATACATATATATAATATATATATATATACTATATAGTATACATATATATATATAATATATATCTCTCTCTCAAACACACATAAATATATATACACACACATGCATATTTCTTATCTATCTCCATCTATCTATCTATCTATCTATCCACACCACACATACACACTGTCTAGCACACTCATAGCGAAATCGGCGGGACGCGAGACTCTGTTCATTATGTATGTGAGTACGTGTAAGAATTTTAAAAAAAAGTATAGATCTATTTTAAAAATATATAACATAAACAAGGGATTTTAGTAAAAACATCGATGGTGACGTCAGTATGTCCGGCCGCTGTGGTATGATGACGTCAGTATTTCCGAACCTCTGCCACGGTGATGACGTCATTGATCCGGCCGGTGTGGGGGCGTGGCAGCTTTATGGTGTGGGACAGTGGTGGGCATGTGTTGCTACAGGGAGGGAGGAAGGGGTAGGTGGGGGGAGGGGAGAAAGGTGGGGGGTGGGGGTGGTGGTGGGGGGGAGGGGAGAGAAATGTGGAACGGGGAGAGATGGGGGGGGGGGGGTTAGACAAATGGAAAATACACACAAATATAATATGTATATATACATACATACACACTCATACACCATACACATATTATAGATGAATATTTTTCCACACACAATGCTGGCACAGGTACACACTATAGTTTGTGCACTTTTCTCTGTTTCCGTAACACATCAAACAATTGAGAAAAAAACAACAACCAAACAAACAACTGGTTCTTTTATTGATACCATTACACACATAGTTTTAATGGTACAATCTTTTTCTGTGGGTCAGCGATCAAACGACTATTTTTTTAACCCCCCCAACAACAACAAACAAACAAAAACAAACAAACAAACAAACAAACAAAACTAAACAAAAAAACCCATAAAAAATATTTTGATCCAGTAATATAGAAATCCTCTGTTTGGGCTCAGTTTCAAAGAAATACCCCATCCTTAGGGTGCATACACAGAATCACAACAATACATGGTTTACAGTAATAACTTGTTCATTTTCGTCTACCCGTAGTTTAAAAAAAAGTAAAATAAAATCGCTCGTTTTAATCTCCTCAGATCTTTGAAATCGGGTCTGAAAGTTAGACGATCAATAGAATCTAAAAGCCCATTCATAAGTCACAGCAAATTGAGGTGCTCAAATTCTGACACGTTTTCTTTGACGTTAGCCTAAAGCGGACATAAAAAATAATAGGGGGTTGGCAGCAAACACCTAAAACATTAAAACGTTAATTTTTCTCAACACCACACTTCATTGTATGCCCCAGAAACACATTCTTGAGT